CCCCGGTGGCTCAGAGGTTAAAGCGTCTGCCTGCAATGCAGGAGACCTGGGTTTGATCCCTGAGTCGGGAAGATCCCCTGGAGAAGGAAATGGCAACCCACTCCAGTGTTCTTGCCTGGAGAATCCCGTGGAGAGAGGAGCCTGGTAGACTACAGTCCATGGGGTTGCAAAGAATCGGACACGACTGAGCGACTTCACTTTCACTTTCAAGGAGCCAGAGCACAGTGAGAAGGCAATGAAAGAGGTATCAAATGACCTTCAGGCCCTGGCACTCATTTAAAACAAAATACTGCCTTAATCCCTGTGTCTCCTCTGTGTAGTATGATAGGAAATCTAGCAGGAAATGACCAGAGATGGTTGCCTGGGGTTCTACCATCTCGTAGACAACCCTTGGTGTGTTCTGGGCTCACCTGGCAATCGTGCTCTGGGTGGTAACCCATTTGCATCATATTAAGGCCATCATTGATGCAGAGGAATCAGAAAGACACTGGTTTTTTGTTTTGTTTTCACAGTGATGGCAAGACCATTCGATGGTGTAAGAATGTTTTTGTTCACTTGCTAAGTCATGTCCAACTCTTTTCGACCCCCTGGACTGTAGCCAGGCTCCTCTGTCCATGGGATTTCCCAGGCAAGAATACTATAATAGGTTACCATTCCCTTCTCCAGGGGATCTTCCTGACCCAGGGATCAAACCTTCATCTCCCCCATTGGCAGGTGGATTCTTTACCACTGAGCCACCAGGGAAGCCCAAGACACTGATTTGTTTGTTTAGTATTATTGTTCCCATGCCACAAGGCATGATCTTAGTTTTCTGACCAGTCTGTGCACCCTGCATTGCAAGCACAGAGTCTTAACCACTGGACCATCAAGAAAATCCAGAAAGATACTTGTTTGAATCCTGACTCTTCTAACCCTGTTCCTTTGATTTTTGGACAAGATTCTTTGAGTGTCAATTTTTCATTTGGTTTGATTCTCCCATCTATAAAACAAGGACATAATACTGTCCTAGAAGGTTGATAGAAGGGTTTAAAAGAATAATGCTATTGAAACCCTCTCATACAGGTATGGGTATTAGGGTTGTTTTGGAAAATTCTGGTTCCCAGAGGCAGCCTGGCCTCAGGGATACGGAACAGCATGATCCTGTCAACTTTTGGGTGGGGCGGAGGGAGGCCTTTGCCTTGCCACCTTTTCTGCAGCCAGTTCTGGAGCAGAGTTACAAGTTGCCTAGGAATACCTCTGGGAACCCAGGAAGTTCAAGTTTTGGAAGCTGCTGAGGAAAGGTAAGGTGGGGTCTTCCCTGTTTGAATCTAAACTGACAAGTACTGAGTAGGTGCTGTACTTAGATGATTTAAATGACTCCAAGTACCAGAGCTCAGATAATCTTTTGTTTTGCTTTAATGTGATACATACATAGGGGTTTCCCTGGTGGCTCAGTGGTAAAGAATCCGCCTGCCAATTCATGAGATATGGGTTCAATCCAGGAGATTCTCCTGGAGAAGGAAATGCCAACCCACTCCAGTATTCTTGCCTGGGAAATCCCATGGACAGAGGAGCCTGGCAGGCTATAGTCTATGGGATGGCAAAAGAGTCAGACACGACTTAGTGACTAAACAACATAGATACAGAAGGTTCAAAATGTACAACAGGGTGAAGAGTGAAACATCTCCCTGTATCCCTGTCCTTTCATTTCTCACCACCCAGTTCCCTCCCCAGGGATGACCGAGTTATCACGGTCACAGGAGTCCTTTAAGAGCTATTACAGGTATACAGGCAAATAAGTGAATGTGTATTTTTTTTCCTACCCTCCCTTTTACCCAAATGGTAACATACTACCTACTTGGTAGGACTTTGCTTATTTCACTTCACCACCTGGCTCTGATTCCCCACTTGATTCCACAGTTGCATCTCACTCCACTGTATGGGTCACCCCTTTTGGTTCCCTGAGGCCAAAAGAAGTTATTAGGTTGTTTCCAATCTTTCACTTTTATGATGTTGCAATGAATTGCTGACACAAGTGCCATTTCATTTACCTATAAGATAAATACCTAGGAGAATTTCTGGGTCAAGGGTATGTACGTCTGCACCTTTGATAGTTACTCTGATGGTTAGATTGCCCTCCAAAGGGGCTGGTATCTATTTAAGGGGACATCTTTCAGGTAAGGTGTTTTTAAACTTTTGGATCTCAGATTGGAGGGTTAAAAAAAAAAAAAAAAGGAACCTCAAGATAGCTGACGTCTATATGGGTCTCAAGAAGCTCCTTTTGCTACTCCTAGTTGACCCCTTTGTTCTTTGTTTCTAAAAACTGAGCCAGTGCAGAATCCTGTGAGTACACACCCTCTGGCTGCTACAAGCAAGGGATTTAGGGTTTGCTCCTCAACTTCCAGAACTGTCCTTTGCTGATACTTCCAGAAATCTGCAGCTAGGGTGTCTGTCCTCTCTTCTTGCACACATCCTGCTCCTTCTCCACTGCTCTGACCATCTAGCCACCTATTCTGTGGCTTGGGGGTTAGCTGACTCCCAGTTTCATCAAAAGAGAGTTTTTGTTTTCCACAGTTTTTTTTTTTAGGACACTTTCTTTGGTAAAAACAGGGGAAAAAATGACTGACTCTCCTTATATTGAAAATCCTAAAACAAAGAGGCTAGTATTATTATCACTCATTTTACAGGTGTGGACACTGACACTTAGGTTGATTAGAAAGTGTATCCCTCCGAGAAAGTGACCCCAGAACTGTGGTTTCCACCATCATTCAGTTATTCCACCCATGACCTTAAGTAAATCTCTTCTCTCGGGTCTCAGTATGCCCACCTGTGAAACCAACACACTTGAGACTTCCAAAATGTCTTACTTAGAAGAAGCCCAAAGTTCCCAAGAAGCTGTCAGAGAAGGTGAGCAAGAGATGGTGATGGTGATGGTGGTGTGCAGTCTTCCACCAGAAAACAGCTCAGCTTTCTATCAGTATTGACATCACTGATTTATGTTGATTTGTTAAAAGGGTAATTAATTGGTGAAAAAAAGAAAAAAATTTGCACTATCCCAGAGGTTGGAAACTCATGGCTCGTAGGCTGCAAGTGGCCTGATAACAGGCTTTATTTGGCTCACAAAGTGTTTTTTTTTTTAAATATATATTTATTTGGCTGTGCCGAGTCTCAGTTGCGGCACGTGGGATCTAGCTCCCTGATTAAGGATTGAACCTGGACCCCCTGCATTGGGAAGGCAGAATCTTAGCCACTGGACCACCAGGGAGTGCCACAAAGTATGTTTTAAAAAGTTTAACTAAAAAAAAAAGTTTAATTAGCGGTTGAGATGGTTGGATGGTATCACCAACTCAAGGGACATGAGTTTGGCCAAACTCCAGGAGATAATGAAAGGCAGGGAAGCCTGGTGTGCTGCAGTCCATGGAGTCAAGAAGAGGCAGACATGACTTACAGGTTGAACAAACAAAACAAAAAGAATAGAGATTTCATATAAAAATGTGTATCTCTGCCTGCTCTTGAGAAGAATCAAAGATATGGCAGCTTGGGGTTCACAAACCATGCGCACTGGTGTAGCAAACCCCGGATCCAGAAACTGGATCTCCAGGAAGGACTCCATAAGGCCCTAAACGCCCACTTCAGACAATGTCCCTCCCCAGGACAATGGTAACCACATTCGAGCTTCTAATAGCATAGATCAATTTCACCCATTTTTCTGCGTGGAATCACACAGCCTGTCCTATTTTGTGCCTTGTGCCTTTCACTCAACATTCTGTCTGCGGGCTGCATTCTCATTATGGATGTAGCTGTAGTTCATTTGCTTTCATAGTTTTGTCACATTCCATTGTACTTATCTCACAACCTATTTATTCGGCTGTAGGTAGACACCTGTATCCTTTCCAGATCTTGACTATTATGAATCTCGCAGCAATGGACATTCTTGTGCACATTTGTCGTGCATATTGGTGTGCACAGGTATGCATTTCTGTTGGGCATGCAGCCAGCTGTACAACTGCTCCGCATTGGTAGAGCTGCACATGGTTTTCCAGAGTGGTTTTATCAACCTACCTTTCTTTAACTGCTGTGAATTCCAGTTGCTTCCTTACTCAGTTATTACCTGACAAGCTCTGAAAGGCATTGGGTTTGGGGAACCCCAGACAAGATGTCTTCTACAGGTTCTTTTAACTTTTTTTTTTTCCCTAGTTAATCTATTGATTTGACTGTGCTGGGTCTTAGTTGTGGCACTCAGGATCATTAATTGTGACATGCCAACCCTTAGTTGAGGCCTGTGGGAGCTAGTTTCCTGACCAGGGATTGAACCTGGGCCCCCTGCATTGGGAGCATGGAGTGTTAGCCACTGGACCACCAGGGAAGTCCCAACAGGTTCTTCTTAATCTTCTAATCGTATGTGAAAGAATGAATGGTTGCGCCCAGTTGCCTCAAGGATAACTGCTTTTGCTCTTCCTTTGTAATTTTTGACTGGATTCCTTTAACATTCACTTATTCCTTGCAGCTTAGATCTAACTACCTGGGAAGTAGTTAGCCAGACATGGCGGTGGGAGTGGAGAGACCGAAGAATGTTACAGGCTGAGGTGAGGCAAGAGCACGTTGAAATCATCCGGAGGCCAGAGTAAAAAAAGAGGACAGGTCCAAGTTCTCAATGAGGTCCAAGTTCTCAATGATGGCAGGGCTGCCTCCAGAGAAGATTTGAAAAAGGACTGGGGGATGGGTCACTAGGGTTTCAAGAGACCAAGAGGATCCTAGAAAGAAAAGAACTGCCCCCTGCCCAAAGAAAACATCTTGCCCACCCACCAAGGCCGAGAAAGCTCTTAGAGAGTAAAGAGCAAGGAAAAGAAGTTGATTTTGATTGGAGGGTGGGTGGGAGTGGGGTGTGTCCCATTGTAAATATCCCCTCCAGGCACATTCCCAGCATATTTAAACCTCTGTCACCTGGGACTGCTTCAGTTCTCTGAGCTCACAGTTCCTCCTTCTTCTCCTGGGAGGGTTCTTGGCTTTTTTTCCCCAGCATGGCCCCCAAACACCAGTCTTCTCTTCCACCCCAAGCGAAGAAACTGAAGAAAGCCAGGCCGACGCCTGCCTCCAGGCCAGACGAGGCATCTGCTTCTTCAAATTTGCCGAAGGAAGGTATGTTCCAGTGCCACATTTTACTGGAGATTTAAGGGATTTGCAAGGATTGACTTCTAGGTGATTTTCCCCCACCCCTCAAACCTTTTGAGTTGTGACTGCAAACTCCCCTGAAGGGTTTTCAGCAAGGGGCACATGGGTTAGGTTACGTTTAGAAAGAACCAGAAGGGGTGAAAAGTGGGAGGCCTGGAGCGCATGTGAGTTCAGTCCTGGCAGTAACCCCACACCTATATTCCAGCCCGCAAACTCTTTCCTTTTGTTTCTTAGTTAAAAGGCACCAGCAGCCAGCCTGAGGCTGGTGGAAATGTAGGTGACCCCTCCTCTCCTTCACGGCTATCAGATCCAATCCACCTCTCTTTCCTGCTGTGGCCGCCAGCCCAAAACTCTGGCCGGGATTACTGCTACCTCTTCCTCATGTTGCTTCCGGCTTCCTCCTTCTCCCTTCCAGCCACTGGAAAGCTGATCACGTGACTCCCAAGCCTTCCTATTGCCCTCGAGGTATGGACTAAGACTTCCGGGGCGCTGCCCACCTGGTCTCTGAGGACCTCTTCTGGTTCAGGCTCTCAGCACCTTTTTACCCTCTTCACCTCCTGGGGCTCCTCTCACCTTGGGGCCTGGAAAACCCACAGTCCTCTGCCTGGCTCACTCCCGTCTCCCCACCTGTGCATTCCTTCTCCTGCAGTTTCCTGCTGAAAAGTTACTTTGGGGGCTATTCTCCTTTGAGCCACAGCTGCCAGGTGGCCCCTATCAGGAGCCCCCATCTGGCCCTGCAGCACCCCGAGTCACTCCAGTTTGGCCTTTACATTGTAATTGTTGGTTTCTTGGTCTGCCCCACCCCCGCATTAACCCTTAACTTGGAGATGAGGGCTGTGTTTTGCAGATACACGGCTTGGAGTGGAGCACAAAGTGCATTGTTCTGGTGATGAGGCCTCCCTGATCGGTTGGGGGTGTGGTGGAGCATTCCGGGGGCGGGGTTGGGGAGTGGGGGTGGGTTTGGATAGGTCCTAGGAGGCAGGAAAGCACTGCCCCAGGAAGTGACAGCAGGCTGGCCCAGGGCAGAGGGGAGGGACTCGGAGCCAGGGAATCTTCCTAATTTGCTGACCTGACTGAGGTCCAGCTTTGCTTGTGGAAGGAGCACTGGATAATGAGTGCAGAACTCCTGTGGGTTTGTTGGGTGATGTGGCAAGTTTAAGTTTAAGGAGTCTCTGTTAATCCCCTTCCAAATGAGATGCAAAGACCTCCTGCCCAGCTGATTATACCCCGACGTGGTCAAGCTGGATGGCCAGGGTTTGTGGCCTGGCTGCGTCCAGCTGTGTGACCTTGTTGGGCAAGCAACATAACCCGTGCTCCTTTCCTCTTCTGTAAAATGGACTCGACAGTATGTTAGGCTTGCTGTGAGGCTGAAGTGGAAGTGAAACACAAAACAGCAATTGGCTCATAATCAGTGCTCTTGAGACGGATAGTAAATTCCTTCCCACTTGTGAGCAGCAAAATGTGGATGAGTCCTTCTGGTCGCCTTCTGTTTAGCTTCTTGGGAGAATTAACAGGACCAGAAGGGATGGCAAGGTGTAACCATAGTCCCTCCAAGGTGGTTCATCCTGGGACACTGCTGTCTTGTAGGGAATGCCAGCACTGCACTGTTCCAATCTTTAAATTGTGGGGTTCTCCTCCTTCAAAGAAAGCTGGGAAGGAGAGGAGAGAATTCTGAGAGTGAGGTGAGAGGCCAAGGAGAGTACGCAGAGCTCCTAATGTTGGAGGCCACGAGACCACGGAGAATAATTCACAGTGGGGGAATTATCTCTTGGTGTGTCCATGCCACTCCCTTGTTTACTGAAACTCTTGCCCTTTTTTGCTTTCTCTTTCTCTTCTACTTCCTAGTGTGTGCTCTTTGAATTCATCTTGAGGAGTGCTGTGGGAAAGGTCAGGAAGAACAGGATGGTCCTAAGGGCTGGGGTGGAAACCTTGAAAGCCCATTGCCTAATCAGGAAGGTTTGGAAGGCTCCCTGGAGCTACTGCCCATACAGGACAAACACCTGTAGATCTGGTACTCAGGAGATGCTCTGGGTCACTGGTACCAAGCAGTGAGAGCAGGCTTAGAGTATGGAAGCAGTAACCTTTAGCACAGTGTTTTTCAGATCTTTTCATCCCACTTGTGGGTTATGTAATCATTTTAGTTGATAGTGATCTGCATTTAAAGAAAATAACATAGATTAGAAGAGTCATAACACTGACTTAGGGTAAGCATTGTTTTGTTTGTAGGTGTTTGTGTGCACGTGCACGCGCACGCGCATGCACATGCTTAGTTGTGTCCAGATCTTCACGACCCCTTGGACTCTAGCCCACCAGGCTCCTCAGTTCATTGGATTTCCCAGACAAGAATACTGGAGTGGGTTGCCATTTCCTTCCTCAGGAAATCTTCCTGACCCAGGGATCAAACCCACATCTCCTGCTTGGCAGGTAGATTCTTTACCACTGAGCCACCTGGGAAAGCCCACCTCTTACTGTAGTTTGTCAAAAACTCTGTCCTTAGGGCAGGGGTTTTGTTCTTCATTAGCCTCGGTTCTGCCATATGTATCAAAAAAGTTGAGTTCATCCGTGAAATGAGGATATTAATACCTATCTTGTACTTCGTGAGGATTAAAAAAGAAGCAAATGCATATACTTATTACAGTCTGTGGCCCATGCTACATACTTCAGCAGTGCACTGGAGCCTGGTATTCTTTCCAGTTCTATTCAGTGGCATCAAAGTGGTAGCAGGAAATTTGCCTTGGTGAGAGTATTTATACACCACTGAAGTCAGCCAATGCTACAATCAGGGTTTTTTGGTGTGTTTTTTTCTCTTCTGGCAGCTGCCTGTCAAAGTTTCCCAGCTTCTTATTGGTGCTACTAATTCTTCCCTTAAAAAGCCTCCAACTGGGACAGGTATGGATTGAGCTAATTGAGAATAATAGGGTTTGGAGGAGAAAGATTAATTTCTGGGTTTTGGGGAAAGTCCCAAGAAGATGTCTGTTTTCTCTACCCGTGGACTGTCGCCATTTAACATTTATCCGTCACCCACCAATGGATGAGCTTGAACATTAAAGACACTGCTTGAGCTTTAAGAGCTGATAGTAAAATATGACTCCTGGGAGGCAAAAAATTCAACCCCTGGTTTTGGTTACAAATATCCAAAGAGATTTCAGGCCTTCTGCGGTCCATGTCTTGGCTATGTCTGCCCTGCTGGACAGAGTAGAGCCTTGAGTAGTTCATGTACATTACTTGGAAAGCACATAGTTGAAATATAAGTGCCTTGGCCTTCGTGTTTCAGGACCTGGCCTCTAAAGCAGGCCTTGTTGATCCTCTCTGATACAGTGAAATTAAATTTAAAATGAACACTTTCGACCCCATCTTCCAGTTGTTTGGCCTCAGTGCCACGCGGGCGCAGTTACCTGGGATTTGCGCGTAGCACTCTGTTTCGTTTCTTGTAAGCTCTGTGAATTACGTACTGAATTGGGCCAAAAGGATCCACAGATGAATGTGGCCCCTCCATGCCTTCAGAGGACTTCCACTTTGTTAAGTCTTCTGTGAAGTTTATAATTTTCTAGCAGAAATAGGTTATTCATAGAGGGCAAACGACTTGCCCAGGTGTACACAGCCTGCTGGGCAGAGCTGAGACCAAGAACCAGGAAAAGGCCCTGTGCCCTGTGGACTGGGCAGCTTCGGGCTTTACCAATGGCAAGCCTGAGTCCGAAGGCAGCTTCCCCGTCTCGTAAATAGGATGGAGGTGCCGCCTTGCTTCACCCGCAAAGAGGGGCGCCCTAGTGAACCCAGGGCGGATATATTTCTGGGCCGGATATTCTGAAGCCAGCGTACTCCGAGGCCTGCCCTTTTGGTGGGGGTGTCTGCGGGCACCCCTCTCCCCGCGTATCCCCGGCGGAGGAGGGAAGCCGCTTCAGCCACCACGCGACGGCACCCGCCCGGGAGCCTGTGCGCAGCCCGGCGAGGCTCCGCCCCTCGGGCCGCCGCGCGCCCGTAGCGCGCAAATGTCCCGGGTCGGGCTGGAGAAGGGGAAAAGCGGGGGAGGGGAGCGCAGCGCCGGGGGGCCGGGCCCCGTACGTCGCGGCGTTCCTTCCTCCCGCCTCTTCGCCAAGCCCTGTGTCTCCTCGCCGCCGCTCCGCCCGCCCTGGGTCCCGGCGCCCTCAGCCAATGACGAGGCGGCGCGAGCCTCTTCGGCCGGGGGCGGGGCATGCGCGCGAGCCCTGGCGCGCCTGCGCCCTGCCGCCGGCCCCTCGCCGTGAGGAGGAGGTGGAGGAGGAGGCGGCTCGGGGAGATCGAGCAGCGAGCTGGAGCGCGGAGCGTGAGTGAGGGAGCCTAGCCGCTTGCCCGCCCGCCGCCGCCGCCGCCGCCGCCTCTCCTCCGTAAGCAGGAGCCCGGGCCGGGGCCCGGCACGCCGCCCGCCCCCCACCACAGCCCCTCCCTCGTCGTCAGGCCGCGAGGGCAGCGCGCGCGAGCCCAGGGGGAGGGACAGCGAGCGAGCGAAAGAGCGCCGGGAGGAGGCGGCCGGACCGAGCGAGCGCCCGCGCGTGTGGCGTGAGGGGAAGCCGCTGCCCGCCCCCCCCTTCGCCTTCCCTTCTCTCCCCCTCCCCGCTCCCCCCCCGACCGCGGAGCAGCACCATGTCGGCGCCGGCGGCCAAAGTCAGTAAAAAGGAGCTCAACTCCAACCACGACGGGGCCGACGAGACCTCAGGTGAGGAGCAGGCGAGGCGGGGGCCGGCCCGCGCCGCCATCTTCGCCGTCCGCCCGGCCGCAGGCCGCCGGCGGGGCCCGGGGCGCGCGGGGCGGCGGGGGGGGGGGGCCCGCCGGGCGGACGGGCCGGCGCGCGCCTCGGCGCCTTTTTTTTTTTTTTTGTGCGCGCGAGGCCCGGGGCCGGGTGGCGCCGCGGCGGCGAACGGCGTTGCGAGGCGGGGGCGCTGCGGCCTGCTCGGCGCGGGCGGAGGAGACCCCCCCTTCCTCTCCCCCCCCTCCCTCGCTCTCCTCCCCCTCCCTCCCTCCCGAGAAGCCTCTCTTTATTGTGCTCCGCCATGATGCCTCGCTCCCATCAGCCGCCGCCGCCGCCACATGGTGCGGCCGGACGCGGCCCCGCGGCCGGGCCTTCGCGCGGCTATCCCCCCCACCCCGCCGGCTCCTCCGCGCCCGGCCCCTCGGGCGGCGCCCCCCGCACCCCCAACCCGGAGGCCGGCCCCGGCGCGGCCCTCGGCCTCGAGCTGGGGCGGGGTGGGGGCGCGTGGAAGCACGCGGCCGGCGGCGCCGCCGCGGCCCCGGGGCAGCTCGGAGGATGCTCGGGCCGGCCCCCACGTGGGGTAGCCAACCCCGTGGCGGTAGCGCGCTGAGAAACCCGGCGCGGCGGCCCTGGGGTGTCAGAGGAGGGTCTTTACAATGGCTCGTTGGCAAAACCTCCTGGCCTTGTCCGTAAAGGCTTTTCTCGGCAGGGGGGCTACACCAACCGGGGCTGGTTGCCGGAAATGAACCGCGCGATCCGGCCCCTTCACGCCCACTTAGCTTTGTAGGTTTTGCGGTCTTCACCCGACAAAAGGGCACATTTCCCTTAGCGCACCCCCCACCCCCCACTTTCCTCCTCTCGGCTCTTTGGCTCAGTTTCTGACTGCATGCTTGCTCGTTGTAAGTGTGCTCCAAAGCCGTGTGGGGCTGCCTCTGAGAGCAGCCCGCCTGAAAATGGGGTTGGAAGGTAAACTGGAGTGTTTACAGTGTTGGAGTTTTAAGGCCTTCCGCGTCTTGTAGGCATGTCTGATGTCTTAACAGTAATCGATACTGAGCAGTATTTTCAGTATTATAAGAGGTGCTTCCAACCTGGAGATGGTGGTGTCCTAATTTTTGATATTGTTGTGGGTTTCCGTATTCTAGCTACTCTTTCGTAGTCTTAACAGCATGATTTGTGAGCACTCTTCTAATTGAAAAGTAGTTTGTCAACTGCACACATGAACACGTGGAGAGCATGCCTTGTAGTAGTAGTAGGCAGGTTTTTTTAAAGAGCTTTATTGATATAACTCAAGTCACAGACTGTTAACATCAGGAAGGAAAACTAGTTAAACTTATCTTCAAATTTAGTATTGAGTCTTCTTCATGCACTTTTTTTTTTTTTTTTTTTTTGCAGAAAAAGAACAGCAAGAAGCAATTGAACATATTGATGAAGTACAAAATGAAATAGACAGGTAAAGTTTTTCTCAGTTTACTTTGAAGTTTTCTGACCTGAGTATGTTTTGGTAATCATTGAAACTATGGTCAGGTAAATTTATATCTACTGGCTAAGTGGAGGTGACTATACCTTGGAAATATTAGGATTCAGTGTTATTTTTTCTGTGATGTATTTGTAGGTCACCAAAAAGTTGCTAATGAAAGTGCATTGACCTTGTATAAAGATTGGGATTACTTTCATAAGGGGAGGAATTGTTGCAGTGTGTGGACTTCTGATAGTATAGTATTATGGCATTAGTGTTGCTCTGACTTGCCTAATAACTTTGTTACTTGATTGGCAGCTTTTTCTTTTTGAGAGAAACAATTGAGGTTAGCCTAGTAATGGAGTAGATAAAGTATAAAATGTTACCAAAATGCTGTTTTGGCTCTTTAAGAACTGTCAGTTACTGAGTGCCTGTTGGCAAAGCAGTTTAGATTGCCATCTCAATTTTCAGTTGAGTCTTTGGCTGCAAAAATGTGATTTGGTTATTACAAATAGGTACTTTGCATTGTTCTAAAGCTAACAAGAGTCAATAATTTTAATCTCAGCCATTTTTGTATTTGTTAAGTACCATCATTGGTCAACGTGTCTTTTCATTTGCCTCAGACTTAATGAACAAGCCAGTGAGGAGATTTTGAAAGTAGAACAGAAATATAACAAACTCCGCCAACCATTTTTTCAGAAGAGGTCAGAATTGATCGCCAAAATCCCCAATTTTTGGGTAACAACATTTGTTAACCATCCACAAGGTATGTGATGGCAGGGCATTATTGAAGGATATGAGATGTCCACTTGTTGTAAAGGGGAGGGATCTTGGTTGAGGGCTTGATCCTACATGTTGGTTACCTGCAGAGTTTGAAAGAGGGAGAGGCTTGCAGTTAATGCCTTCTATTTATAAGAGATAGTATGCTAATGTGGGGTTGTGTTTAATTACTTGATAAAAGATGATGGTGGCTCTGACTCTGAGCCATTTGGTTATTCAGTTGATAGTGGATTTATGAAACCAAATTTGGGCAATCTTAAAAGGGATTGCTGAGTTGTATAATCACTTGGTCTCCATGTGGGTCTAGTGTCTGCACTGCTTGGGGAGGAGGATGAAGAGGCGCTGCATTATTTGACAAGAGTTGAAGTGACAGAATTTGAAGACATTAAATCAGGTTACAGAATAGATTTTGTAAGTATCTGTAACTGATTTGTCACTATGGAAATTAACTTGAGCTTTGCTTAGAAGGGATATTTGTATTGACTTATGATTCTCTTATTGTTTATTGTAGTATTTTGATGAAAACCCTTACTTCGAAAATAAAATTCTCTCCAAAGAATTTCATCTGAATGAGAGTGGTGACCCATCTTCAAAGTCCACTGAAATCAAATGGAAATCTGGAAAGGTATTTGAGGACTTGTGCATTAATATTTTGTAGAGTTTGATTTAGTTGAACCATTTAACTAATACTTGATGTTTTGGTGATGTGATACATGCAGATCCTTAAAATAAAAAGATCTGTGTTAAAGCCAAGTACAATAGCTTATGGTCTTACAAGTTAATGAAGCAAGTTTTTGTAGACATGGACTTAAATCATTTTGAATTTTACATTGTGGCTTTGTTTCCCAAAACCTATTTCTGTCTGCATTTAAGTAGTAAACATAAATATTTTACATTATACTGTCTCAAGATACTGGTTGTTAAAAAAAAAAAAAAGATACTGGTTGTTGAAGTAGAACTAATTTTATATGTATTAAAAAGCCAAATCTAGACAGTAACTTTCAAGAAAAGGTTGGCATACAAATTTGACAGCATTCTTTGCAGACTTAGAATCCTAAGGTTTCTTCTCTTTATTAACTGTACTTTTTATAATTTCATATAAGAACAATAGTGTAGATCATATACTGTCCAGATTTTGCTCTGCTTTTGGGTTAAAACCGTATTTAAGTTGTAGAGACGAGGTATAGAGAGCCTGTGTATCATAAGTTCTTCCATCTTCATTTAGGATTTGACGAAACGATCAAGTCAAACACAGAATAAAGCCAGCAGGAAGAGGCAGCATGAGGAACCAGAAAGCTTCTTCACCTGGTTTACTGATCATTCTGATGCAGGTGCAGATGAATTAGGAGAGGTCATCAAAGATGATATTTGGCCAAATCCGTTACAGTACTACTTGGTGAGTTGAGAATGTTTTTATTCAAGGGTTGTACTTGTTTCATTTGTTTGAAAGTGAGTTCTTAAGGTAACCTTTGGTTTTGGTTTTTCCCTAGGTTCCTGACATGGATGATGAGGAAGGGGAAGGAGAAGAGGATGACGACGATGATGAAGAGGAGGAAGGATTGGAAGATATTGATGAAGAAGGGGATGAGGATGAAGGTGAAGAAGATGAAGATGATGATGAGGGGGAGGAAGGAGAGGTAAAAAGATTTGGTTAAATCCAAACAGATAATCTTCAAAGAATTCACCATGTTACTTTGGAGATTACATATATTGTGTAGTGAAACTGATTCAACTAGTTGTGGGGAGATGTGTAAAAAGGATAGGTTGTTTTGTCCAGGATTGAAGGAAATTTTGATAAGTTTATTGTATCACTGATTTAATTAGTTCTACTTTTGTGGTTAGTTTTTATGACTAGTCAGTTATGTCATTCCCTGGCCAGTACTCAGTGAAAGCACTGTGGACATTACAACTGCCCAAATTCTGACAAATCTCCCAAATAACAAAAATAGGCATGTTTTGGACAAGCCATTATAAAATTTTTCGAGTCAGATTGAGATAGATTAGGTTTGGCTTGATTACTTGGTCTGAAAGATGTCTGATTTGGTCAGTGCTGGAAGTTAATACATCTGAAACATCACTAGGTCTTTCAAAAATCAGATTGGGATGAAGACTGGGAAATTCTCTGGTCCAGGGGGTAGGATTCAGCACTCTCACTGCTAGGGTGCAGGTTTGATCCCTGGTCAAGAAACAGATCCTGTGAGCTACGTGGCCTGAGGGGGAAAAAAGTAGTTGATGCAGACTGGTGTATAGTTGGCCCTTCATATGGATTGTATCTATTGGTTCCCGTTCTTCAGATTCAACCAACAGCTGACGTTCTTTTAATTGTTGAAAGTGCCAAAAAGCAGAACTTGAATTTGCTGAGTGTTGACAACTATTTACATTGTATTCACAACTATTTACAGTGTAATATTACAACTAATCTGGGATAATTTAAATACATAGGAGAATGTGAGTAGGTTGCATGAAAGTACTATGCCCTTTTGTTTAAAGGACTTGAGCATTCAGAGGGTTGTGTTGTGTTTTGTTTTGAAAATTTGTATTGGCTTCAATGAGCTGTATGTGGGATCTGAGCTCCCTAGCCATGGACTGAACCTGTGCTTCTTGCAGTGGAAGCATGGAGTCTTAACCACTGAACTACTAGGGAGGTTCCCCTGAGGATTTTTATATGTGGAGGAGGTTTTGAACCATCCCTCACACATACCAAGGGACCACTATGGAGGTTCATAAAATTCATTTCCCCTGGCATGTTGTCATGTTCTGTGGGGTCCATCATTGTCCATATGAATATTGGGGACTGACCTTAGAATTAATCCTAAAGATTAACTGCCTGCTTTTTTTTCTTACAGGAAGATGAAGGAGAAGATGACTAATGGAACACTGATGGATTCCAACCTTTTTTAATTTTCTCCAGTCCCTGGGAGCAAGTTGCAGTCTTTTTTTTTTTTTTTTTTTCCTCCTCTTGTGCTCAGTCGCCCTGTTTTTGAGGTCTCTTTTCTCCTTTATACCATGGTTCACAACTTATTTGGGGAGGGGGGAAATATCTTGAGCAGAATTCAGTGGGAAAAGAATCTCTACCCCTTTCTGTTTCAAATTCATTTTTATCCCTTCCTGTCTCAACAAAAACTATGGAATCAACACCACCATGCTCTGTGGGAAAAAAAGAAAAACCTTCTGCTCCCTTAGCTCTGCTGGAAGCTGGAGGGTGCTAGGCCCCTGTGTAGTAGTGCATAGAATTCTAGCTTTTTTCCTCCTTTCTCTGTATATTGGGCTCAGAGATTACACTGTGTCTCTATGTGAATATGGACAGTTAGCATTTACCAACATGTATCTGTCTACTTTTTCTTGTTTAAAAAAAGAAAAAAAAAACTTAAAAAAATGGGGTTATAGAAGGTCAGCAAAGGGTGGGTTTGAGATGTTGGGTGGGTTAAGTGGGCATTTTGACAACATGGCTTCTCCTTTGGCATGTTTAATTGTGATGTTTAACGGACATCCTTGCAGTTTAAGATGACACTTTTAAAATAAAATTCTCTCCTAATGATGACTTGAGCCCTGCCACTCGATGGGAGAATCAGCAGAACCTGTAGGATCTTATTTGCAATTGACATTCTCTATTGTAATTTTGTTCCTGTTTATTTTTAAATTTTTCTTTTTGTTTCACTGGAAAGGAAAGATGATGCTCAGTTTTAAACGTTAAAAGTGTACAAGTTGCTTTGTTACAATAAAACTAAATGTGTACACAAAGGATTTGATGCTTTTCTCTCAGATAAACTTAATAAGACTTTCCAAGTTTGACTTGTGTAATGTTACTGTCAAACTTTTTGTCACCCTATCTTCGTATTTTTTGATACGCACTTTGCAGGATGACCTCAGGGCTATGTTGATTGAGTAAAGGGATTTGAATCAATGTATTAATGTCTCCATAGCTGGGAACCCATCATGGGTACAATTTGCCATCAGTTTCTGAAAATTCTGAAAATCACATCACTGGGGATACCAGATCGCTGAAAACTCGGTTCTGAATGTGTTGTACCTTTGATTTGTATCTCAAATCATTATTTCAAAATACGGGCTTTTATTTACCTAGATATTAATAGTGCCTGCCACCACCATCAGACAGACCTGGTGCTCCTCTGCCGAGTTAACACAGGGCAATTGTTCGCATGTCTTCACTGGCACTGTAAGATGTGGCTGAGAAGACAGGCTTTCAGAGTAAGAAGTCCATGTTGGTGGTAAGAAACTCAGGTTAGGAGTACTTTTATCTCAAAGTACCAGCTTCTTAGCAAATAGCTCTCCAGTGAGACCTGTCTGTGTGAATCCGAAGGAGATGATGGACTGCTCTATCTGCTAAATGCCATTGTGCATAAATCACATTTTGAGAAGCTACCTAATGCATAAGCTTTTTAATGCTGTAAAATATAGTAGCTAAAATTAAATGCCACTTAGCTTTTTCAGAGATGAATTAATGGACAGCCGGGTCAAATTCAAAGCTTTTTGATGTATAAAAACTTTATAAATGAAACTACTCCATCAGTAGGCAAAGTGTAACAAAAACCTGTCTAGATGGATAGTGTGTAATTTCTGCACAGGTCTCTGTAGCAAATACATCACTGTATACCGGTCAGGAATCTTACTCCAATAAAGGAACGTAAAGATTTTTTTGACTGGGGTCATTCTCCTTGTTTCATAGAGAAATGTTACTACTTACTTTTGGATTTAGATGATAAGCTAGTTTTCTGCTTTGTTTTTATTTGTGTTCATTGTGACTGGGAAATGGGGAGAACTGCCCCTTCAGGTAGTTCAGTAAGTATAGCATAGGTGCATACATCTACATGGAAAGGTATGTTTGGAAGTTGTGGACAAATTAACTGTTATTTGAAAGGTAGTCAATTCCTGAGGGGATTCAGTCTTTGATTTTGAGGTCTCAACATGTGAAGGGCTTTTCCCTAGAGAAAAGAAAACAGTGGTCACTTGAAACAATATTCATGAAGTAATAACTGTGATTTATGTTTCACAAAGTGACATCTTAACCAAAACTGGTTTTTGTATGCTGGTGTTGTTAGGTTATTTAATGAAACTACTATGTTAATTGTGGGGGATGTGCTCAAAAGATAGGACCCCTTAAAGGGAATTTCCTCCTGATTACTGAGACTACCCTTTAGATTCCCTTATGCCTAATGGAGTGCTAGACTGAGAAGGCAGAAGGGGCAAACAGTGTAGTCTGCATTGTTCCCAACTGCAAGAAGAGTTTTTGGGCAGGCCCTTAGGTATGTTTTGAAAACTACCAGGTGAATGGCTCAAAGCTCCTTTGGTACAACGACATCTAAACAAAAAGTGCTTGTTACGGTAGTTTCTCTGGGACATGACTTGCCAAGCTGTGCCATATTCTGCTTATGAGGAGAGCCTAATAGCTACATGAATTGGGGCATAGAGGACAGTAGCTTACGTGTTTTACAATTAAAAATTTCAAGGATTCTCTGCAGTTGAGGTGGTCTGACCGCCATGATAGGTCCTTATGATTTCAAGCAAGTGGCTCTGAAATGCAGTTTGTGACCCTAACCTAAATGTCAAACTGCTTTAATATCTGACCTGCTTCACAAATGTGTTAGCTGTTTGCAGGCCTAGGATGAATGTATAATTGTGTTTCTGAATTAATTTAGTAATCTTTATCATTACTGTTTGATAACATATGGTTTCACTTGAGCTCATAAACAGATTTGGTTTTTCTGCCTTTTTGTTAGATTTTGCTATAAAACCCTTCCTAGTTATTGCAAGAGGAATTATTTGGGGAAAAAAAACAATGTTCAGGATTTCGTGAAGATTGAGACAGACTCTTTAGGAGACGAGTAAATAGCAAATTATTTTCACTTGTTTAAAAGGACAACAGCTTATTTTGAAAAGTATCCCTCACTATAGCAAAAGTCAAATTTTGTATGCGTGGCTGTATTTAATGGAGATTTACAAGTTTTAGTTTTAATGACTCTTGAAGGGAAAGGGACTACAGTTTTGTGAGGAGAAGAATAGGAAGTGGAGGGTGTGTGCCAACTTGATTAGTTAGTGACATTGCATGCTCAGATGCAAATCTATGGGAGGTAAATCTAAATGTAGGTGGAGTGATGTCTGCCATATCCAGAAGGAAAAAGATACAGAAAGGGGTAGATGTGCACTTATGTAGCCTGTTGGGACTGTTCCTTTCAAGTTGATGTTACACAACTTTTATTTTTTTGATGTTACACAACTTTAATAGTTCATTAGCCAAAGTTGTTTTGGGCTGTTCACTATCCACTGGATGTTAAATGTGAACTTCAGTTTTCCTAAGAACGATTTTATGAAATATCATCACCCATCAGACATCTAGGTAAGATGCAGCTGTCTATAACTTAGCCATCAGCCAAGGGCTGTAGGTTTGTCCAGCCTGGGGTTCGTTAGGAAAGGTGGATGTATTCTACTTTGGAACCCCTTTCTACCTTGGTGGCCACAAAGCAATGAAACATTTGAATGCAAACTTGAAAAATCATTGAGTTCTACATAATTCAGGTGCTATGGTAACCTCTCAGTTATTTTTTAGCATCAACATTCAGCTAAGAGCACCTCAATAAACCCCACCTGAAAGTGTCTACCATGTGCCTCCTAGCGTACTAGGTGTTAAATATTCGTCTAGCCTTCAACAACTCTGGTTTGTATATATGTAAAAGTGTCACTTGTCTCTGATTATGAAGTCATCATTTCTCCCACTGAACCATGTTGCTTTTGCATATGTTTGTAATTTGGTTGATTTCCCGTTGCAGGACTATCCCAGGATGCCCATGTTATGCCACATTTCACTTTCCATTCACTGTGAAGGAATTGGTCAAAGAGGAACTGACATGGTTTCTCCTATGAAAGCATTGGAGGGCACCTCTTCAAAGTCAGCAATAAGCCACCTTCAATATTTGACCCTTATTCACTTCTGGCCCTGTGGAGGAGGCTCCTTCCAGTAAAGTCATGGCAAAAGGTGCTGGTGAGCACAGGATGACAGGGATTGGCTGAACAACCCTGTGTTACTCAGTCCCTCAGTCATGTCTGATTGCCTGTGACCCCATGGACTGCAGCACTCCACGCTTCCCTGTCCTTCACTATCTCCTGGAGTTTGCTTAAATCCATTTGGTCAGTAATACTATCTAACCATTTCATCCTCTGCTGCCCTCCAATCTTTCCCAGCATCGGAGTCTTTACCAGTGAGTCAGCTCCTCCCATCAGGTGGCCAAAGTATTAGAGCTACAACCCTAGTGTTGGTTGCTCAGTCTGGCTGTTTGGCTCTTTGTGACCCCATAGACTGTAGCCCGGCTTAGCGATTAAACCACCTCCAGACTGTAGCTTGCCAGGCTCCTCTGTCCATGGGATTTTTCCAGGCAAGAATACTGGAATGGGTTGCCATTCCCTTCTCCAGACAATCCTAGACTAGTGGGCAATAAAGAACCAGGGTCCCCTAGAAAGCCATTGCCAGAATACCTAGTTTCCTGAGACGGTGTTTTTTTTTTCCACCTCAAGGTTTAAATGTATATTCTGTTTAGATGAGTGCTTTGGGGCAAAGGGTTAGCACTGGCTGAACCAGAGTTCCAGTCTAGTCGAATGATGGAGGGGGTGGGGGGAGGTCCTGAGAGATTTTGGATTCATTCCTAATTTGGTATCATTTGGGTAAGGCTTTATTTTCCCACGCATACATTTTAACAGTGTCTACAGACAGAGCCAAGACTTCTTAGGGGGTGACAGGTATGATATTAGCCCATTTTACACCAACGACATGGGAGAGAAGGAGAGATTCCTTCGGGCCGGAGCCAGGTCGTAGCGGGGTTCCGAGGAAGACGAGGCTGACCCGTCCCGGAGCGGACCG